CAGCCAAAGGTGTCTGTGGGGTGAAACACCACACACCCACCAGCCAAAGGTGTCTGTGGGTGAAACACCACAGCTGCCGTGTTTGGTCAAGCAGCAAGGGCCAGACAAGCCAAGGAACGTGGCACCCAGCTATGTTGGTGTTTTTCCAGTCCCGGTGCAGTGCAGAGGTGCAGCAGAGCTCAGGTGCGAGTTCATCCTGACTCCCCCGAGCCCCAGGTCCCTGCCAGCGGGGTGGTGCCAGCCCAGGGGAGCCCGGGCAGGAGCATGGACCCTTGGGCACTGCTGTGGGCTGTTCAAAGCCTGCCTGCCTTGGCAAGGGGGTGGCAGCAGCTGAGGCACAGAGGCTCACACAGAGCTCAGAGAGACCCAGCCTGGCTGCAGCTCCTGTGGTACCTGCCTGTCAGCACACCTGTGGGGAGCTGCCTCCTGTTCTGCGGAGAGAGCCAAAAACTCCACAACTTTGTGAAAGCTGTAAAGCTGGTGTGCTTATTAGTGCAGCGCTGGACACATGGGGATTGCTCTCCTTAAAAGACATGCATACCTCTGAGAACTTCAGGTCCCTTTTTATCCCCCTCTCAAATACATCTGCAAACAATTTCACAATAGGTTCATACATACATACTCATTTTTACGAATTTCAGTGACATTTGCTGCTGGTTGTTCTATATCAGAAAGAGTTCCTGGGTCAGGCTGGCCTGCTCTCACAGCAGTCTCTGTCTCTCTCTATCACCATCTGTCTCCCCCCTTCTCTCTGTCCTTCACTGAAGCAGTTTCCCTGAGCCTAGGCTTTTGCAGTCAGGCTACATAGCTGTGTTTTCCAGCCACAGACCCAAAGATGTCCATTTCACCTAAATCAGAATGGATTTCTCCTCTGGAGAGTTTGTGCTCTGTCTCACTCTGGGTGTCCTGCAGGCAGCCAGCCCTACAGAGCTTTGCTCTGGGAGATGCCTGCTGCTTCTGATTACAGGACAGGGAGTAAAAGATGGGGGAAGCATGATTTTCAGGGCATGCGAAGGGAAAAAAGGGAAGCAGCACCCTGGAAACAGATGGGATCTGGGTGAGGGAGCATCCTCCAGGGCCCAGCTGGCAGGGAGCAGCACTGTGGGAAAAGCAACAAGGTCCTGCAGGGGCACATCCAGCCTGGGGTGAGCTTGGGTCCTGGCAGGGAGCAACATCAGCTCCAGGACTGACCAGTGCCAGGCTGTGCGGAAATCTGCACCCAGAGGGCACTCGGGGCACAACTGGCAGGTCAGGACAGTGCCACCAGAGAGGAGACAGCGACAGGGCTGGCTTGGTGCTGGAAAGCACCTGGCTGCATCAGGAGTGACATAAACCGCTGCCTGCAGCTCTGGCTGGCACCACTTGGAGCAAAGCAGGCTGTGCCCAGCTCCAGCTGTCACCAGGGCCACCAGCACGCCCTCAAGGCTCCTGTGGGCAGCTGATGGAGCTCGGGGAGTTCAGCACCAGGACAAAGCAGCAGGAGATCGTTCATGTTCAGTGAGGAGGAGAGGACAAGGGAAATGGCACAAAGGGCTGGATTTCCCAGCACATCAGGAGCTGTGAGAGGGCAGTGCTGTGCTGGAATCCCACGCCAGGCCTGGCAGCCTGAGCTGCTTCCACGGAGCTCTGCTCCATCCCATTAAACCAGAGTGCTCCTCAGCCTGTCACTGCTCCCCCCTCCTTCAGAGAAGTGTCACTCCTTACTCCAGAGAGGCCTGGGGCAGGAAAACATGCTCATCCCAGGAGAGGACGGTGTCTGGAGGTCACAGCTGATGTGCACTGGCGAGGCAGCCTGAGGAAACCTACACGGCGTGAATAAATGAAGGCTGCAGCTCAGAGCCAGCGCTGCAGAGCAGACACGATGGGGGGACCAGGAGGTCAGAGCCTTGTTGGGTAATGGGGGCAGCTGTCCCAGGAGTGAAGAGGGGAAAGGGAGTGTTGGGTCCGTCATTTGTTGCACAGAGAGGTTGAGGAGAGGAGGAGAGCTGTGATTTGAGGTGTCTGTGTCCATGGCACACCTGTGGGGGGGAGCTGGACGTGTCTTTGTGACACAGCACAGGCCTGGCTCTTCCTTGAGGTGCTCCTTTCCCCAAAGCCCATCTCAAAACGTCAGTCTGTCTGTCCAGCTGCTGTTCATCCTGCGGGGACCATCATGAACCACCCACACACGTCCAGGGCCAGGCTGCAGCCAGCACCAGCAGCCCACAGTGCCAGGCTGGCCCCGCGCTGCCTTAGATATTACAGCGGTTCATTTGTTGTCTTACCAGCCAATGGCAAAAAAAATTAACTGTATCCCTGCCGGACACAGCACATGACCAAAACCTCACCGAAGTGGAAAGCACATGGATGTTGTCTTATATACTACAACAGTTCTATTACCTTTATATCGCACGGATTCCATGTCGCCAGAGTTTTGTACCTCCTTGATGTGTTCTGTAGGCAGCTCCTCTGAGCACTGGCTGTTCCTGGTGCTTGCAGCTGCCCTCTGCCTCCAGTTCCCACCAATCCACTCTTTTATGCCACCAGCTCTTATTGGCTACAGGTGTTGCCTGTTACCTGCTCCTAATCTTTAGTAATAGGGTCCAGCTGCAGCTCCTTGGGGGGATCAGATCACACTCTGCATTATCCTCATTTATCCACACTGTGTTCTCCTGCAGCCTCAGTCCCTCTGCAGGCCTTGCTGCACCCCAGGTGTCTCTGAGCAGCTCCCTGGGGACACTGAGCCCACCTGGGCTCATCCCCAGCCTGGGGGTGCCAGCGAGGGTGGCACTGCCATCCTGCTCCTCGCACGTGCCATGGGGGTGACAGGGGCACAGCGGGTCAGTGACAGCCCGCCAGGCACCGCAGGGCACAGCTGACAGTAATTGCACTTTTTTTGCATTGCAAAATGATTATTAGCGCCTCAGTTCATTATCAGAGCAAATTTAATTTTTCAATGTAAAGGAGCCGGTTGTATTTATAAAGGAAACACTGTTGATACAGCCGGAAAAAATTAATTCATGACAAATGTAAGGAAAACTAATAGTCTTTAACCAGGGCAATATTTGACTGTGTCTAATTGTGCTTTGCAAGGTTTGAAAAGCCCTGGCAGAAATTCTTGCAGAGGCATTTTGCAGTACTGCATTCAAACATTGG